ACATATCGGATCTTGTCCCGGCATAATTGCAACCAGTCTTCCCTTTAATCTGCCATAGTGAAAACAAACACCAGTGCAAATATGTCAACACCACTGGTTTTCAGCCTCAGTGGTTCAAGTAGGCAGTGTTAATCTTGATTATCACCTTCGGTTCAAACCGGTGGTGAAAATTATTATCACCATTGGCTAGTTATATGAACCGACGGTGATAATAAAAAAGCAAAAATAATTAAGCAGCCAAGCTCATCAAGTCCACCTAGCTCGTTGAGCAGCAGCCATTGTCCTACGCTATCGTTGCCACCGCCCTCGCTAGACGCGTCAGTAGGGACGCACGCCATCACCTGGAGCTCATCTAGCGCCCATGCATGGATCCAACCCGATCCAGTTGCAATAAAGTAGACGAGGAGAGAAGAGATAAATCTATATGAGTTGGAGAGCAACAAGGAAGGGGGAGAGATCAAGTAGAGGGGAGAGAGATCGGGAACACCCCCCGTCCACAGGGAGAGATCGAATAGAGGAGAGATACATCGGGAACACCTCCTCCTCGGGTTTGTTGGCTGCATGCGTGCAGCCTGTGACTGTGACTAGGGGTGGGCATTCGGGTTACCCGAAAATTTCGGGTTGAGAAATTTGAGTAATTGAAAATTCAGGTATTAGAAATTGTAACCTGATTTTGGCAAAAAAAAAATTATCCAATAATCGGGTTTGGGTTTTACCCGATATACCCGGAATTGACAAAACTAACAGTTTTAAAAGAATTCTAGTAGCATAGCAATAAATAACGGTCCTTCAAATTACATCATGTCCATATCAATTAACAACAAATCAATTATATACCAAGCTAGTATAGATCTATAGTGAGTCATATCAAATAATATATTTACTGAACCACTTCATGTCTTCGTAAGTAATAGAAGTACAAAGATTTGAGATATTTTGAATAACTCGGGTAGTTTGGTATTGGGGAATATTATCCAAACTAAATTTGGGTTTTAATAGTTAGTATCCGAAATTGTTATTGTGTATTTTGGCTTCGGCTACTTTGGGTCTGGATTTGAGTAATTTAGGCTCGGGGATTGAGTTTGGGTATTTTGCCTAAGAGGCCGGTTTGCTGGGTTTGGGCAAAACACAAAAGGCTCTGTTTCCCGATGCGGAAAGAGAACGCGTGCTAGACGCCTGGACTGCTAGTGCAAATGTGCAATGCAACACTCTCGTCGTTTGATTTGACTCGTTGTGCCCACAAGATCCTCGTCATTCGTAGTCGTTGTGTACTTGTGTGCACTCACCATTGCCAATTTGGTCTCTAAAAAAAATTCGTTTCTAGTTTGTTTCTGAGCGACTGAGCCACACATCGTATCAACAAAAGGCGGAGTGCAACAGGCGTCGAAATAAAATATATCAGATATTATGTTTTTAGCCCTTAGAAGTACTCCTTCCGTCAAAAAAAATACAATTCTAGATTTAGGATGAATTAAATTTTCTTAAATTTGAATAAATTTATTAAAAAAATAGATCAACATTCACTACTACAAAATTGATTTTCAGCAATGAAGGCTTTTTTTTCTAGAGGTGGCTTAATCTATAGCCGCCTCAATAAATACGAATTGATCTGCTTCTACAAATGCATTTGTAGAAACAGCTCCTATTTTCAGCTGTCTATACAAATCAATTTCTAATGACATCTATAAATAAATAGAGCCGTCTTTAACAAGAGGAGTTGCACAGTAAAATTTGAGTTTTTCAAACGCCTTGGATGAATAAACGACCAAAACTAAAGTCGAAGAGTTATAGTAGTTGACAACTTTTCATTTGAAATCATCTATTTAAGGAAAATTACGTCTGAATTTCTCAAATTTAAAATTTGAATTTTTTAAATGGTCTCGGATAGAAAACGACCAAAACCAAAGTTGTGGATCTTTTTTTTTTAGGCAAAAGGCTGTGGGGGAGATCCCGACATCATACTTTAAATTTAGATTAATAAGACTCCAAGAGTTTACTTACAACAAAAGTTATACAAATTTTTAGTTTGACAACTTTTTAATTTGAATTCATTTAAGGTTTTAAATACTCATTTTAAAATTGGATGAAGATCGCACAGATGGAAACAAGTCTAGTCATCACGCGCTAATCCAATGTCCGCGAGCGAGGGACCTGCGACAAGCCATGGGCCAGCACTGGCTATTGTCGGATGATGAACGGTTTCAGTACACAGGTACTCGAAGGAGCAACGGGACCTCATCCTATTCCTCCGGTGGAGAGCGTGGTATGTTCACAACAACATCACACATGGCACAGGTCCTACGTCCACGACAAAATCAGTAGGTTTTCTGCTAAACTTACGGGAAAGTTTGATCAAGAGCAGAGAACCCATCCCGAAGGGACAACTAGCGTCCGGACGTCCGGCCCGAGGTTCGCGTCCCGATGCCCGCGCTGGACTATGTTTCCCACGCTCGCACCAGCATTCCACGCCCACGCTCGCACAAAACCAAAAAAAAACAGCACGACCCCGCCAGCGCCTGGGTTTCACATGCCCATGCGGGGCCCATGCCATCAGACCGCGCGCAGGGACCGCTCATGTCCCCTCCGCTTCTCACACGTATTGCAACATGTGCAACACCGATCTAGTTTTGAAACATTCCGATACAACACTTGTAACATTCGTCTGAAGACAAATGAAACACTTGAAACATGCGTATAAAACACTTGAAACATGCGTATGAAACACTTGGAAAACACTTGAAACCATTGCAAAATATACGCAACATCCAGATAAAACACTTACAACATATGCGTGAAACATATACAATATCCAAATAAACACACTTGTAACATGTGTCTAGAAAAAGTACAGATAAAATATTGGGAACAGAAGCTTGCAACATACCTGTACAACCATTGCAACATGTGCAACATCAACGTCTGAAACAATTGAAACATACGCTTGCAACATGCACTTTCAGCGCAATATTTTCTTGCTGTTTCGGAATGGAGGCTCGTCGGTCCGTGGAGTTCACCGGTGTAGAGCTTGCTGGTGGCGCAGAGCTCACCACTCCAGAAGGCCACGGCGGATTACTAGCTCCACGCGATAGCCACCCTCGCCTTCCTCCCACACGGCGTGGGTCTCCATCGCCGTGCTCGTCTCCCACGCCCCGCTCGCCCCGCTTGCACGCGGGCCTCTAGAGCCACCGTTTCCTCCCACGCGCGCGAGCGTCGGAGCTACCATCGCCTTGCTTGCGCGCCGGCAGCCGGACGCGGGAAGCATAGTGGTTGTCGGAGATGCGGTCCGCAAGAGCGCAGAAGGGCCGTAAGCCGGTAGCCGAACGCCAGAAGTGTAGTGGTTGCTTGAGGGCAGCTGCCATATCCCTATCATCGCGGCGCTAGGGAATGGAGATGCACTGCCGTGCGTGAGGTGGATGTCGTTGCCTCTACGACTGCATCGCTGACCCCAAGCCACCGCCACCTCATCTCGCCCACCTCCTGGCTTGGTAAATAATGGATGAGGCTAGCTTGCTCGAATGGATAAGGCCACACCGGCCACCGCTTGAGTGTGTTTTTTTAGAGGCGGTCATTGGGCTGGCGCGGGCGGCCCACCATCGGGAGCGTCCAGCGCGGAAGAACACCCTATACCAAGAATTATTGTATGTGAAAACAGGGGAAGCAACCTATCTTGGCAGAAGGGGAGGTGGGGGTTGGAGCAATCGCGAGGGACAATAAGGTAACTGTTGTATTCTCGGTAGGGATGTTCCTAGAGCGACGATGTGGAAGCGCATCAGAAGCGGAAGAGCTAGCCTGCGTTGAGGGTCATTGAGGGTCTTCGTTGGGCCGTTAAGTGGGTCTACCACTGGCTATCATCAAATCCAATTGCGCACGGATCGTCTCAATAATAGATGAAGCTAGCTTGCTGGAATGGATAAGGCCACACCGGCCACCACTTGAGCATGTGTTTTTTGAGAGGCGATCGTTAGGCTGGCGCGAGCGGCCCACCATCGGAGCGTCCAGCGTGGACGGACACCCTATACCAAGAATTATCGTATGCGAAAACAGGGGAAGCAACCTATCTTGACAGAAGGGGAGGTGGGGGTTGGAGCAATCGCGAGGGACAATAAGGTAACTGTTGTATTCTCGGTAGGGACGTTCCTAGAGCGACAATGTGGAAGCGCATCGGAAGCGGAAGAGCTAGCCTGCGTTGAGGGTCTTCGTTGGGCCATTAAGTGGATCTACCACTGGCTATCATCAAATCCTTGCGCACGGATCGTCTCAATAATGTGCAATCCATCCGTGGACCAATCAGAGATTGGCTTTGTTACAGAAGATGCAAAAGGACTCGCTCAGCTGTTGAGTGGAAGATATCCCAAGCGAAGAGAGATTGTAATCAAGATGTAATGCTTTAGCTAGTTTAGCTAGACGTAGTAAACATTCCGTGGCTTGGTCTAATTAATAAAGCCTCTCTTTTACTCGAAAAAAATGTATCACTTTTACTACTGCTATTTGAATGCAACTAATCCAACCGAGCGGTTGAGCCCTCTGTTTCTTGAGTTATCCAAAAGGTAAAGCACCGGCGTGCTACATGGAATTAAATGCAACAGACCCAAAGAACCAAAAGGCACTTGTTTAATAATCAGCTCGCTTGCAAATAGTAAGGGTTAATTATGCTTTTATTATGATATGAGTGGATGTCAATAAAATATTTTTATGTTTGACTCAAATAGACTGTAGAACTAAATGCACATGAAAATGCTGCATATAAGGATCTGTTCCTTACTAATGAGTGATGAATACCAGAAGTCGTACTCATATAAGTATATAGATACAAAAACAAAAACTACTCTTCAAACATCAGCTGTTCCCCGGTCAAGGAACTGCTCCACGCAAGTTATACTTCCATACTCAATCTTCATGCACCCACAAGGCTAACAGCATCTATTGCGGCAAATTCTTCTTATGTTTGCCTTACCATTGCAAACCCGACATAATTACAGAGGTTCAGGGGACTCTTGTCATCAGTGTTCAGCCAAATGCCGATGTTTGAGCGCCCTCCAACCAATGTCATGCCTGTAGAATCCTTCTGGCCAGTCAACAACGTCAAGTGCATCATACGCTTTAGCCCTTGCTTCCTCAATGTCCTTGCCCTTTGCAGTAACACCGAGCACACGGCCTCCAGCCGCCACAAAGTTTCCATCTGTATCAAAGGCTGTTCCTGCATGGAATATCTTTACTGCAGGAGAAACCTGCTCGGCTTCATCAATATTTTTTATTACAGTCCCCTTCTTGTAAGGCCCAGGATAGCCTTCACTTGCCATCACAACAACTGTTGCCAACTCAGGCGACCAGGTTAGCGAAACCTTGCCTAGTTCTCCCCGACAAGCAGCAAGCAGAACCTGCGCCAAGTCAGACTCTAACCTCATCATCAGAACCTGAGCCAAACAAGATGAGTTAGTAGAGATGAATTGACCAAAAGTTTAGTTTGTGAACATGACAACTATAAAAGTTAATGAGTTCATACAAAGATAGTTGGCCTTTCATATTGATTTCTTTAAAGAGATTAACAAATGGAGTTTTGATACTGCAATGAATATGTCATTAGTATTTCCAAAAGACATTTACCACCCAGAAGGCCAGAACTACTAGCATTCTGCAAAATGTTACTTGAAGATCAGATAAAACTTTGTGCATGTTGTTTCCCAAATGTAAATTCAAATGCAGATAGTTTAGCATATTATAACTAATGTCAAGATATCCAAATAAGCAGATATAAATTGGGTAATATAAATCCTGTAGATATATAGAGGACCAAATAATGGTCTGGGTATTATATTCTGTAAACATATGCTAAGCCAATAATGATAATTAATAAAGAAGATCACAAACCTGGCATTCTGGATCTCCAAATCGTACATTATATTCAATAAGCTTAGGAAGCCCAGACTTCTTCTCAATCATAAGCCCAGCATATAACACACCAACAAATTTACATCCTTCAGCTGCCATACCTTTAACAGTAGGGAGGATTATACTTTCCATTACTTTTTTCTTCAGTTCTTCTGTCATAATTGGAGCTGGGGAGTATGCACCCATACCACCTGTATTTGGACCAACATCACCATCACCAACTCTTTTATGGTCCTGGGCCGATTCAAGAGGCAAAGCAGTTTCTCCATCTACTAATGCAAAGAAAGAAGCTTCTTCTCCCTCTAAAAATTCTTCAATGATGACACGTGATCCAGCAGAACCAAAAGAGCCTTCAATAAGCATAGTGTCTATGGCTTCAAATGCCTCATCTAAAGTCATAGCAACAACTACACCCTTCCCAGCAGCCAATCCATCGGCTTTAACAACTATGGGGGCTCCTTGATCCTTTACATACTGTTTAGCATCAGCAGGGTTTGTGAATGTTTGATACTGCACATGCAGAACACAAGTAGTCAATTTTCAACTTTCAACCAATAGCTTAATAGATGGAAATATCTAACATGGCTCCTAGATCCTCAACAGATTAAGTTTACTATGTAAATAAACAGTTGGAAATAGCTACGGGGCTCCTATCCTTAACAGGCAAGATTTACAGCAATTGAAAATTGTGAGAAAATAAAATGGGGTTTATGAGCACTCTGAGCTAAAACATAAAACACAGTTTGGGACTTGTTGAGAGCCAGTATCCAGTAACAAAGCATATCACAAAGATACAATTCTCATGCTGAAAATAATATTGCCAGCTCTAGATATATTCAAATATTGCATCGATCTACATTATGTACCAAGCATAATAACTGTTAAGTAGCTTCACAAATTAAACGAAAGTACCTTTGCTGTGGGAATGTTGTACTTATGACATAGTTTCTTCATGAAATCCTTTGATCCTTCTAATGCCGCAGCCTCTGATGAAGGACCAAAAGTAGGAATTCCAGCTTTGACAAGGTCATTTGCAAGACCAGCAACAAGAGGTGCTTCAGGTCCAACTACAACTAATCCAACACCCCAATTATGACAGAATGAGATGACATTTTCACTATTTGTTATGTCCAGGTCCGGTATACATGTGGCATCTCCAGACTCAGCAATGCCAGAATTACCAGGAGCACAGAAAATTGCATCACAAGATGGAGAGCGTTCCAAGGCATAACAAAGAGCATGTTCCCTTCCTCCTCCACCAATGACCAATACAGTTACCCGCTCTTCTGTTAGACAACAACAAATCAAATTTAATAGAGTTGTTTTTCTTGGGTTTATTACTCTGATCAGTTAGAAGGCAACTCTGATTTGTAATAGTTTATCACAGCATCCTAGCTCATAGTGCATCAAGCTTGAGGTTTTCCTCATAAACCATAATGTCCATAGTTCTTTAGGCCCGAGCGAAATATTTTCCAGAAGCATATAATCCATAAATGACTTAATGAATTTAATTCCTTTTCTGGATCCAAGCAATAGATAATAATTTATTGAATTTTCTCGTGTGATCAGTTAAATGGCAACCCTTGTTTTTACTGGTTTAGCACAGCCATCTACCTCCGAGTGCATCAAGCTTGAGGTTTTTCTAAAAACTCAATCATATGCCCAGTATTTTAAATCCAAGCAAAATTCAGGGAAGCATCATGGTAAACAGTTCAATGAAGTTACCCTCTCTTCTTGATCAGAGAACAGATAAAAATTTCATGAGGAACCAGAACAGCCTCAAAGTAGGAGATATCTTACCAGGAACCTTGACGTGGCCATTAGTCGAAGAGAGTGTTGTGTTGAGGTGTCTGCCCTTGAGAGCCTCAACAGCCAGGTTTGAACCATAGGCGCGATTCTCATTCTCCACCCTGATGGGAGAACAAAGACCACCCAGTGTCCGAGAAACAGGAAAAGATACCACAGAATGCAAGTAGCCAGGCAAGCAATTCCTCGCGAACGCCTTAGCTCCGAACTTGAGCGAAACCTTGGTGGTGCTTGAAGAAAAGCATGCCATTGCTATCACCCTTTCCTCTGTAGCCAAAACGGCAAGAAACAAGCAGAGGGTTTAGTTCGCTGGAGTAGGCAGAAACACGAACCCAGTAGATGGATTCCGAAATAAAATCAGCGAAAAGTTCATGTATTGCTTGATTTGCTTCTAAGATCGAAACTCATGTCAGGTAGAAATTTCGTGAACAAGAAAGCACGGAATCAAGGCAAACCCCCTCCGAAGCAGCCTCCGGGGTCGCGCGCCAAGTGTTCGACGGAACGACTACACAGCCCCTGCTATCCCGTGAGCCGTGACTGGGCCGCCGCCCGGCGTGTGTCACAGGAAGAACCACTGCCAGCATGCCATCCCACTCCGCCATTGAGGAGTTGCGCGCGCACGAATCAAACTAAAGAGGACGAGACGAGGAGAAACCGGGGCATTTACATATTTTTACGGATGACATCTGACACATGAATCGCTGATATGGTACCACTCACATCACCGTGATGGTAAATATGTAAAAATTCCGGAGAAACCAAGACACGGGCAAAGCAGCCAAAAGTTGGCGCGCGGCCTCCCTTCCCTTCCCCCGCGAGAGATCGGGATAGCAGGAGATCAACTAGCTACCTGCTGCTGTGCTGCGGCCGTGATATGTGGCTCGCTCAACAGTACTCACCTGCCTACGAGTGTGCAGCAGCTCGCCGTAGCGGAGATTGGAGAAGGGGAAGAAGAGGAGCGGAATCCGTGGCGGCTGTGTTCGCCGCGGTGGCGCGCCGCGTTTTGTAGTGCACACAGATGCCACCGAGGCGCTGCTGGAGGGGTGAATTTTGCATTCTGGTCCCTGGTCTGGTCTGCGAGTTCGCTTTGCATACATAATTTGTTTTGATTTGATTGATGATGTTTTTTTTAGAATTGATTTGATTGATGTTGGGGTGTGATTATTGGCAGAGGGGAGCTCACATGGGATTTCGTAGGATACTTTTATTATATTTTACTGTACACAATGACACAAGCGACATGAAAAATGCATGGATTGGCTTTTTAGAAAAGGTAACTTTTTACGTATCTTGATCAGAAGTTAGTTTTTTTTTTTGCGATGATGATCAGAAGTTAGTTAGTTGTATGCTCAGGCTATAAATACGTGTAAACGAGTCGTGTATCGTGTGCCAATTAGTAGTGATATAAAATGACAAACAAAAGGGAGATTGTATTTGATGGCAAGCGTAGATTATTGATGATGGTTCGCTGGGCTCGGATGGGTGGACATGGATCGGATCGGAGCAAAACACGTCATCCACCACATGATTGTGGAGAAAGGCGAGGGCCAATTCGGAAATCTGGCGTGGCCAAAAGCAGGGGGCGGCTGCGATATTGTGGGAGGCGCCGCTGGTTGAGGAAAACCGAAGACGTGCGGCGAATCCAGGAGGCAAGCACCGGCGGCGGTCCGCTGATTGTCACCGACCGGTGCCGCTGCACCCAGCTACCTGTCCTTTTCTTTCCAGGCTGCTTGCTGTGTGCTGACCACGGTTTCAGATTCAGCCGCGACACTTTTGCCCTGGTTTAGTTCCTCCAAATCTCTGAAAAATAAGCTATACAAAAAGAAAATTATCCGTCACATCAAATATATGCATGAAGTACTAAATGTAGACGAAATCAAAAACTAATTACACATTTTGCTTTAACTTTGCGAGACGAATCTTTTAAGCCTAATTAGTCAATGTTTGAACAATAATTCACAAATACAAACGAAATGCTTATAGTAGGAATCTTCACTATCCAAAGTTTGCATGCGCAAACTTTACCCAACTAAACACGTCTTAATTTAAAGGGACAGCTTGGTAGCGTTTGAGCTTACCTCCATCAGCTTGCACAGCCCATTTCAACAGAACGCTCCCGTTGCATTATTAATTTAAAGGGACAGGGTTATTCTTAATAAAAAAAATATCATCTTATTCTTACGGATGCAAGAATGATAACATGACACCCAACCCTCTCCTGATTCGCAAAGGTCTCGTTGTCGTTACTTAGGGCATCGATCGTGTACAAAGCAATTAAATGTTTAGATACACGGTGGAACGACAGTGTTCTTGTTTAATTGGTCGTTCGTTTCGTTTCGGCCGACTAAACGGCCATTTAAGTCTGTCTAAGATTAGTGTCATATGAAACAACTCTATCACAATGCTTGATATGAAACCGCTAGGGTGAATTCCGATCTTTCGATGAGAGAATATGGATAACTCGATTTAGGGATGGAGATAGCGTTCACGGCCCGATTATAACTCTCCAAGGATGCTGCGCCTTAACAACCGATACACCACCTGCAATGGCTGCCGCGATTTTGTAGAGCGCGTCATCCGGCCACTAGGGCACTCGTCCTGTAAACGAATAATTTCTCAAAAGAACAAATCAGCAATATGAGTAGCATCATCCTTTTTTATGACAGGGAATGAAATGTGTCATCTTAGAAAATCTATCAACAACCACAAACATACTATCACATCCCTTCCTAGTCTTTGGCAAACCCAACACAAAATCCATAGAAATATCTTTCCAAGGAGCACTAGGAATAGATAGAGGCAAATACAAACCGTGTGGATTTAACCGTGATATAACATTTTGACATGTCTTGCAACGAGCAACAAACATCTCCACATCTCTTCTCATCTTTGGCCAAAAAGAAATAACTAGCAAATATGTCCTCCGTTTTTTAGCTCCAAAATGCCCCATTAAGCCACCTCCATGCGCTTCCTGCCGTAACAATAAACAAACGGAGCTAGCTGGAATGCATAGCTTGTTAGCTCTAAACACAAACCCATCACTAAAGATGAATTTGTTCCAACCTTTTTCATCTTTACAATGCAGCAACACATCTTTAAAATCAGCATCATTAACATATTGGTCTTTAATTGTTTCTAATTCAAAGATTTTATAATCAAGTTGATTCAGCAAGGTATATCTCCTAGATAAAGCATCAGCAATAATATTCTCTTTCCCTTTCTTGTGCTTAATAACATAAAGAAAAGATTCAATAAATTTAACCCACTTAGCATATCTACGCTTCAATTTCCCTTGACTACGAATATGCTTCAAAGATTCATGATTAGAATGAATAACAAACTCTTTGGGCTACAAGTAATGCTGCCATGTTTCTAATGTGCGAACAAGAGCATACAATTCCTTATCATAAGTAGAATAATTCAGAACATGCCCGCTCAATTTTTCACTAAAATACGCAACAAGTTTACCTTCTTGTAACAAAACACCACCCAGTCCAATTCCACTAGCATCACATTCAAGCTCAAAAGTCTTATTAAAATCAGAAAGTTGAAGGAGAGGTGCATGTGTCAACTTATCTTTCAGCATGTTGAAGAACTTCTCTTGTACTTTGCCCCAACTAAAAGGTGCTCCCTTCTTTGTAAGCTCATTCAAAGGTGCAGCAATGGTGCTGAAGTCCTTCATAAAATGACGATAGAAACAAGCAAGTCCTATAAAACTCTACACTTGTGTGATAGTCTTTGGTACATGCCATCCATGTATAGCTTCTACCTTGGCCTGATCAACCTAAACAGCTAGGGTGAATCCCGATCTTTCGATGAGAGAAGGTGGATAACTCAATTTTGGGATGATGATGACGTTCACGGTCCAACTACAACCATCCAAAGATGCTGCACCTTAGCAACCGATACACCACCTCCAATGGCCGTCGCGATCTTGTGGAGCACGATCAACCAAACCACTAGGGTAATTCCTACAAGCAATCGAGGAACAAGTAGAACAAGCAACTCAATTGCAAATATGGAGATAAAAACCAATCTGAACTCACAAAGTTAGGGTTCTAAATCAAGTAAAACGGATGGTCTAGTCAACACACGCGTCTACAAGGAAGTAGCAATGGCTAAACTTTCAACAAAACAAAACCCCATATGTTTGTGGCGGCTCTAATCCTTATTAATACCTAGGAGGACGACCAGGGGGTCCTGGTGTCGTGCTCCAACCCTAGGACACGTCCTTATTGGATCCGACTTGATACAAAGCCCATCGGTCAAAGTAAGGCGACACAGCACCTTTGACAGAAAAACCTCACGGTAGTAATTTGATCATTGCGGTTGAAAGCATCTAGGCCCCTAGTTGGGTTTTGATGATTAATGATGACATGAGATTATTATAACTAACATGTGTTTTGCAGAGGCAATTTGAGTTAGGTCATGGTAATAGAAATTAATTGGGCAATCATGGTTGTCATGCCCCTGTCAATGGAAATCTTTTTGGTTTTTAAAGGATGTATGACAAGGTTAAGGACGGACTAGTTCTAAGTATCGTTTGGTGTTGGATAGACACTTAGAGCAGTTTAGGACTTTGTTTTTTCTTTGGTCGTACTATTAAGGAGGGTATGGACTAGTAGCTTGACCTAGATGAGTCTAATGAATTAGGTGTGGTGCACACTTGTCAAACTTAGCACTAGGTAGCTCAGGAATAGCCCTAAGTTTGATACAAGTCAACTTCATTCACAAAGTATTTCGAATTGAAAGTGAATGGAGGGTCAAATGACTAACTGGACGCTAGTTTGGTTGTGACCGGACACAGCTTGGAGAGTCTAGTCAGTTCATTTGATCGGCAACAGCTGTTAGAGTGTGATCGAACGCTGGACACTGGTGCTCACCGGACGCGACGCTAGTTGTATCTATAGCAGCGTGGATAGGCTATTGACCACGGACCGACGCTGAACAGAGAAATGATCAGCCTCTGGGTGCCAGCGTCTGGTCAACATCAGTAAGGATCCAGAGAGGTTTTTTGATGACCGGACACGTCCGGTGGGTGCTGACCGGACGCAGGCCAGAGTCCAGTCAGAGCTAATGGCTCTTTCTGACACACTGACATATTACACTGATCGGTGCGTCCGGTCACCTTGACCGGAGCGTCCAGTCATCCCGATACTTGCTGAATTGGATCTCAACCGTTATGTTTTGAATGGGGGTATAAATACATATCCCACTCATCCATTTGAGGTCTCTTGCCCATTTGTTCAG